TGTTCTTTATTAACAAATGAACAATATGAAAATCATCATTATAACTATATATATTACATGTAAAAATGATGTGAGCGTTAAATATCGATGTCTGATTTTTGTAAATATTGTTTACTAAATTGTTCTTTGAGTACAAATTAATTAGCAGCATAACGTTTAAAAGCAATTTGGATAATTAGACGCAAAATAACATGGATATCACGGCTAATACATGAGATAATAGGGATAATATCGAAGACAAGGCGGCTAATGAAGAAGATAACCAGACTGATATAGGCAATAACAAGGCTAATGAAGCAGACAACGCGATTAACCCCGGAGATAACGCAGCGAATAGCACGGCTAATACAAACGGCTAATACAGAAAATAACGCGGCTAATACCGAAGATAACGTGTGGTATTGCAAAAAAGCAGTATCGATATTTTTCGTGATATGCGGCAGATCAGCACACAGCAGATTGTTATGGTGATTACGACCTAGAATTCGGTTTTCCGATTTACTGACGCAAATTAGATCTTAAGCTAGCGAATGTTAAATAATCTCAGATTTCTTGCAATGTGATGTGTAAAATAGAGTCTATATGCTCAATTCAATGTAATCTCCGGATTTGTAGTTGCGCCCTCTGCGCTGTTACTATACATGTAACCCGCGTCAATATAATGTCACGGGGTCAAAATATACCACGAGGTATGGTATTTCCGCCGAAATTTACTTCCGACAAAACAATAGTCTGTCGCACTGTGACGTCATACGTTTACCTTTTCGACCATTCTTGCCCAACCAGGCACGGTGTACGCTCATGCGTAAAGAACAAGTGTAACAGCCTATAGGACGCCGCTGGTATCATGAGTGCCAATACGGTAGTGTTAGTATAATATTGCATTTTGAATATTTCATATTGTATATTGCCATCAAATACGTGTACGTGTCTATAATGATTAAACCAGTACATGGAAAGAGTTGAAAGAAAATGAAATACAATATGACATGACGTGACGTCACATAACAGGATATTACACCGTAAATTAAGAAATCAGAAGACATTCAAGACGTGTAATGTTGAAAATATATATATTCAAAACAACTTGTTATCTTAGTATATATAGACGAAATAGACGCAATTTCTTACTAAACACAGTATTTTTAGATACGACATTCAATCACAATAGGATATTGTAATATTTGACACAAATTCCATGTTCAAGTATGTTTCACTTTCATTCCCCTTGTTCTTTTACAAAAGTCACAAAATACAGACAAAATGCAGGAGGAGCAACACAAGACGACCATTTGAACATTTCCAAATGATCGAATAAGCTATTGACAGCTGTATTAAAAATGAATTTCTAGCTGAATGTTCAGAAACAGAGATACTTGTTAATTTACATAACGACTCTCTCTGTACGTTAATTACAATGTAATATACGTGTTGTCACCGCCATTAATTATGTAAATCACATGCAGTTATGTAAATAAGATTTTAAAAATTAACTTTTTTCAATAAAAGAAAATGATGGTAAAAGAAGTAAACAAAGTTTTAATTAAAAAAAGTGCCCGAAATGTTGAATCTCATCTCTAATTTGTGGACTTGATGTGCAGCCACGGCGCATAAAATTCATCATGAAACTCAGACGAAGGACGAAAGCATGATCTTGGCCCTGACTCTTCACAACTCGCCGGTGGTGGCGCAGTAATTCAATAATAAAGCACAGTAAACATGTCATGGTTCTTTCTCTTCTTTCGTATTTTCTATTTTAGTAAAGTCGGCTACTTATTGCAATCTCTCATAGTTTTCTTCCGCCTCACCAATGAGCCAAAATGGGGTTTGGATGCCTTTACCCTGCAGGAAAAAAAATGGAGATCTTTAAAATCGGCGGCGACGAAGCTTTTCTGTGTCATCTATTTGGCGTAGATGGGCGTGATGTCATGAACGGCTTACGCCCTCTACGTTACAGGTGCGTGTCATAGAGGGCGGGATGACAAAATCTGCGCACTAATTAGGCAAAGATAAGAGTATAAATATTTGTTTAAATTGTATTTGAATAAAACGAGTTCTTCCTAATCAGTTTGTTTGTTTTTAGATGCAGTCCGCCAGCAAACAAAATGTTGAAAATATACACCAGATGGAATGATAAACGCTTTTACCTTCATTTCTACGTCACCTCTCAAGTCCAAGTGAAAAGTGCCAAACGTGTCTAAGACAGATTTTGTAGATGAACTTATGTGGATTTTCAGCGCTGTAATAAATTATAATATTGTAAGTGAGCATGCAATACACGTTAGATCAAGCTTTGGGGAATGTGCGCGTGGCGTATCAGGCAGCGTGTCTGCTCACAGTCATGGTGGCGAGGCGGTTCTCTCGAGTTGCGAGTCGTGTTTCATCTTTATATGTCCGTATATGTATAATTTCGAAATATATAAATAAAGTGAGATTTTTGTTCAAATCTACTGAGCATATGAGAAACTAATTATGGGAGAAAACGTCCCATTGTGTATAAAATAGAAAACATTACCACATTTCAAACTTAAAGGACGGTGGCCGTCGCACCGCGCATGTGGGTGCGACATTTGTGTTGATAAACATTGATTTTCCTACAATCCTATGCGATATTCTAAAGGAAAAACGCGAGTACGAGTTTTGAACCGGGCGCCACATGCACTAATTACCACCGGTGACTCCTTCAATATCTTCCAATCACCAAAGAAATTACATCGTTAAAGATTAGTAACGTCTCAGTTTGTACTCATTGCGCCACGTCAAGGTTCATATGAGTCTCACATTTCGCGCATGCGTGGCACAACGACTATCACCCTTCAATGGATTTATTCAAAGATTACCAATATTGAATTCACATTAATAACTTTTTCAGCCCAGTGAGATCACAATAAAATC